ACAGCATACTAACCCCTATACTTCGGACTATAGGGTTCGTTATGGGGAGGTGGCCCTCGGTCGGCAAGGGTGGGAAAGAGTGGCGAAGGGAACGATCGAATAAAATGACAAACAATTTTACGGTTGGTTCAGGGTATTGGAACATATGCGGGTGCGTGGTCACTTGATTAATAGCAACACGTATGTATGTATGTTTACAATTAAGAAATTGATTACGAATTTATGCTGAATCAATAACCATTGTTGGGGAATTTGTATTTTTGTGTGTTGAGTTCCTTTGCTTTGCGTTGCATTTTCAGCCTAAATTGATGGCTTTAAAGGAGATGAAAAAATCCGTTATTATATTCGTGGGTATTGCTGATCCCCATATGAAATTCAAGTTTTTTTTTTTTTGCTAATTTAACTAGATTTTTGACATGGATAAATTTCTTATAAGTGCAAGTACGACTAGGAGAATTTAGAGAGAAATGGGAAAAAGATCTAGAAATCAAGAAGTCAGGACGGCTTCATGTTGAAGTAATGACCATTAAAGCAAAGACTATAGTTGACACATTTTGTTTTTCATATTGCCTGTGCTTACATTAATTCAAGGGAAGTGATCACTCGATCTATCACTCAATATTTTCGCAATGCACTTTGTTTTTGAAACTGAGTTATTGATTTTTTTCCGAAGAATTTAATTAACTGCCCAATTACCAATAGGAATTCTTTGAGGAATTTTTCCTTTTTTCCTACCATTTTTTACTACTACTACAGCGAATTCCCTTGTTTTACTTTGCAATCATTTTTTCCAATTTCATCAACCCTTTAAATGAGGAATAAAGAGGAAGAAAAGAGGAAAATAGAAGAAATCATTAAAGCGTTACATTTCTATTTTCCTGATGAAAAAAATCTCTTACAAAACTGAAAGGAGATTTCAAGAAAATGTAAGTATTTATAATTAATTATACACAAAATAATTATAAATATTTTATCATCTGTTTAAAAGGTCGAAAACTACAAATAAGGCTAAAATGCAACATGTGGTTTCCTTAATGGAAGCAAATGCATACATCGCTCCGGGCCTTTTTAAATGTAACAAGGAAAACCTTTCGCGCTTCTGGACCACCAAACAAATGCATTGAATGATGGGAGAATATTGATATACCTTTAATGGATGTTATATTACAACCTTATTTTAATAATAGTTTCTTCTGAAGGTATGGGCTGACCAAATGAGGTACGTAAGACAGCATTTGAAGCATAAAAATGGAACCGGAGGTGGCCCCAACAAAGAGCAGGAATTGTCTCCCACAAAGAAGCGATATACGATATAATCGCAATAAAAACTTCAGTGGAAGGGGTATCAGTGAAACCCATGGGTCAAACTGATCCAGACGATGAAGCTCCTCAATTAAGGTGGAACTCGCTATTCAAAAGGAAGTATCGGAGACAGTGAAACTGGTTGCCTCTAACCAAAGTAAACAAACTGAAGTGCCAAATTGTATACATAAGTCAATAGACCGATTGTGTAATATTTTAACTGCACATTTTCGGGAGATGCAAAAATTAAAAACTATGGAACTACAGGAAATCCAGCACCACAATAATGTTGCGGAGAAGTATCGGTTAAAAGAAATCGAATACAAATAGCAAAAAACCAACTTACAACTGTAGCAATAGAGTGAAGAATTTGAAAGAGACTGATTTTCAATTGTGAATTCGATTTAAGCAATATGTTATTTTTATTGTTATAAATTCAATACATTTGAATTTTTAATAAAATGAAAAACTATACATATCGTTCTCTCATAATAATACTATTTGAAATAACAACAAGTAAAAAAGATGTTTGTATGATGTATGAATACCACTATTTGGAACGAATTTTACAGTTTTCAAAAAAAAAAAAATAAATAAATAAAATTCGTTAAATATTCTGTTAAATCTTAAAAATACCGAATGTAGAAGTTATATTAGGGTGTACAAGACGTCATGGACCTGCATATATAACCACCATAAACATTTATTTCTTTAGTTATACGAGTTTCGCTTGGAGTTACTGTACATCTATCTTCTGTTCATTATAGATTACAAACAAAACCACTGTTGAAGTGAGAAATTTAGTAATTAAATATTACAAAAGCCATAAATCGCTAAGTGAGATATCTAAGATTGTTAATAGAAGCCCACCTACAGTTCAGTACATCATAAAATGGTTAAATGTGTAGAAAATAAGACAAAATGAGGATTAGAAGCATATTTTACGGTAGATGAAAAAGGATCCATTTTTGAGTGCACCGAAACTCCCAAAAATTGCCGAAAGGGATTTGGAAGAAGTATATTGCCCTCAAACAATAAGAAATTTACTGCGTAAGTCGAATTACAACGGAAGAAGAGCTAGACATGGACATCTAACTAGCAAGGGAGATGAAGAAGTAAGATTGCGATTTGCCAAGGAGCACATATCAAAAGATTTTTCATTTTAGAAGAATGTGCTTTTCACGGACGAGAGCACATTCAACTTTTTTGGTTTAAATATCAGACCTTACGTACGGAGAAAGACAAATGAAGCGCACATTGCAAAAATTTTAAACCTAAAGTTAAGCATGATGGTGGATCAGTAATGGTGTGGGGTTCATTTTCTGCCTCTGGTCATGGTGTATTGCATTTTATTGATGGTATTATGGATTAGACCATGTACCTTAACATATTAAAATAAAGTTTACACTCTGTGAGGAAAAGCTTGGCCTTGGCGAAGATTATTATTTTTATCAAGAAAATGATCAGAAACACAAGGCTTATAAAATGCGGCCTTGGCGCGATATAATTGTCCGCACACATGGATACACCATTAAAAACATTTTTTTTCTTTAGCTCTACGAGTTTCGCTTAGATTTACTGTACATCTATCTTCTGTTCATCATAGATTACAAACATACCAATAAATGATAAACAACATGAAAATCATATTAAAAAAAAAAACACCGAGGAAGGACGCGAAGATATATGTGAACTAGGAAAGTTATTAAATAAAAATTCGAACAAAACAAAAAAAAAAAAAAAAAAAAAAATGCAGAATAGGTTCGTGAAAAAGTTAGGGCAGAAGTAAGGCTTTGTTAGTCAAAAAAAATTAGAATTAAACAAAAATAGCATAACTTCATAGAAGTAACACTTACGAAAACTAAGATTGAAATCTATAAGAAGTTTTTAATAAATCCTTTAGTAGCATGTGATAAAATCGCTCCGAGAACTTCAAGCACGTTTGCGTCATGTCGCGCAATGGCATAAGCTCACAGGCGTATGAATTATTAAAAAGGTACGACGATAGTGAACGACATTACCAGGCGGTCATTGCACTAAGAAATAAGGTACGAGGTGCTGCCGAGGCGGTGCCATCGCCTTTCAACACTGTTTTAAATTTTAGCGCAATTATTGCGCGATTGTATTCTACATATGCGAACAAACGTCCGATATACCTTATCGAGCTTAGACAAGGTTCAATGTCCTGCTTATAGTGGTCAAGGCGAACAGGTCAAAGAAAAGCAAAAAGCATATTCAACTTACAATGGCTCGAATCCTGTAAATAACTTTAATCGGAATAACCTACATTATCCTAATAACCCGAATAACAGGCAAAAATTGCCTTATAACACACAAAATTTCCAGAAACTACAATTTCGATATCAATAGCTCCATTCAAGGAAATATCGAACCTATTATTATCACATTTTAAACATCCAATAAAAGATCAAAATCATGCTTATGCTTATAAAAACTTTTCAGAAATTCGGACCGATCTTAAATACAATGTGTAAATCATTTAATTGAAAATTAGGATTAGCCTGACACAACGGAATACGAAGAGTATGCGGACAGTCAGTAAACGGTATTGAGTGCGATGGAATTATTTCTTAGGACAAAGTCCCTCCTGCCTTGGATTGTAAGGCCAATAGTATAATGGAGATTAAACTCTTAATCGACACAGCCTACTAATCCCCTATACTTCGGACTATAGGGTGAACGCGCTCACTTCGTTATGGGGAGGTGGCGATGGGAATGATCGAATAAAATAACAAAAAATTGTACGGTTGGTTCAGGGTATTGAAGCATGTGCATGTGCGTGGACATTTGATTCATAGCAAAAATTATGTATGTATCTATGTTTACAATTAAGAAATTGGCAACGAATTTATGCTGAATCAATGACCATTGTTGAAGCATTTGTATTTTTGTATGTTGTGTTCCTTTGCTTTGCTTTGCATCTTCAGCCTAAATTGATGGCTTTAAATAGATGGAAATTTCCTTTAGTATATTCATGTGAAATTTATGAAATTTAAAGTTTTTTGTTTTGTTTGTTATTGCACAGTGTGGAATTCTATGACGGCTTAGATTTTTTTTTTTGGCTAACTGAACTAGATTTTTGCAATGGATAAATTTCTTATAAGCGCAATTACGATTTGGAGAATTAAGAGAAAATTAGGAAAAACATTTGAAAATCAATAAATCGTCGACGGTTTCATGTTGTAGCAATGACCATTGGTTTAATACGTTAAAGCAAAGACTATAGTTGAGACATTTTGTTTTTCAAGGGATCTCTCGATCTACATTCAATATTTTTCCCTATTCACTTTGTTCTTGAATCTGAGTTATATTTAAATATAAAGCCTGCACACGTGCTCGATACAATGAGAAAGTTTATGTAGGGTTGTCTATATAGTAATAATATAGTAATTTGAAGTATCAAGTTACATATCTAAAGTAAATACACAAATGTCAACAATGAAAACGTGTGTGATATATTTTTAAAAGTCTGTCTGTAAATTATGTTTGATGGCTTTATATGGAAGCAATGACTATTGGGTTATTGGGTGCATTTGCCCATGATTTATAGCAACACTAGTTTGTGTATGGTTGCAACTTAGGAATTTGCAAAGACTTTATGCTGAAGCCATTGTTGATGAATGTTCATATTAAATCGAAATAAGGGACCATTGCACATACATTCAATATTACTTACAGCCAGTTCCACGATATCGAAAGAACACGTTCGCACAACTTTTACACGACAAACAGCTGATTTCCGTTCCACTAAAATCTATCAGAACGAAAATTTGCACGAAAATCAAAGCGAACGAAAACGTAAGCATTTCAGTGTAATTTTGCGTTCCACTATCTTTTTTCTTTCGTACGCATGCGAACACAAATGTCAAAATCAGTCACTTGTGTGTTTGCTATCGTATAATAACAATTAAGGAAAATTGTTTTAACATAAACATTGCTTGATTGAAAATGGAAACAAAAATGTAAGTAAAAATAATAAATGCAATTTAATATGTGAACAACAAATATATATTTTTTTTTTCTCAATTCTAGCTCGAAAAAATCATCAACTACACAGCTGCGGGCACTAGTTGAGTAAATGGAGGAGAATCCTGTGTTCGCCAGATGAATGCCAATTTTTGGAAGCAGCAGAAGAAGTTTTAAATCGGGGCGGATTTGGGTAGTTCTGCAACCGGGCACCCACCTCTCTTCCATCATATCCAAAAGAGCCCGAAAACTTCCTTCGACACACGAAAGTTGGCCACAAACCTAGAAAAAATCATTTTTTATTATTTCAAAAATGTAAAAATACAATCATACTTACTGGTTGTTAGGTACTTCAAATAAATTCGAAGCATCTCTTAAATTCCTCCGTGGCACATTTCGAACCTCCTCCATAAAAAATAGGGCTACGGAAATATTCTTTTTTTTATTTTCTAAGAGCACAAATAGTTTGAACACAATCAATAGAAATTTTATTTTGTTTGTTTATTTACAATTTGTTTCTTTACAACTGAAATGCCAGTTGAGACAGAGCCACTGCTGCTTTTTCGCGTTTAAATTAGACATTTGACGCTTTTTTTGCTTTATTTCGCGATTAATTTTTCCAAAAAAATATTTTGCAACACTGAATCACGTAAGGCTATGCGAAAGAAAGAACGAAAGTTAGTGGAACGCATTCTTATACGAAAGTTAGTGAGTAGCCTTCGTTCGCACAAATTTTCTTTCGAGATCGTGGAACAGGCTGTTAGAGTAAGAATTGGAGGGTATTGAAGCATACGCGGGTGCTTGAGCGCTTGACTCATACCATCACTAATGTTTGAATTTATGTACGTATATTTGAATTTGATATGATGCTTTGATCCAACAAAAGGCAATTCTTGTTTTTACCAAAGCAAACGACAAATTTCCGCAGTATATTTGTGTGTACGTTGTTGATCTTTATATGAAATTCAATTATCACTTTCTTTTCAAATTTAGCTTGTTGTTTGAAAGGGATTTGTTTCGTATGAATGCAATTGCAACTGAATTTATGTAGCTATGAATGTGTGTTTGCGTTTGTATGTAATGTGCAAGGGAAAATGGTAGAGCTAATGTTGAAGGAGAAGGGTGAATAGTTAGATGAATAGATGAACTATTCAAATTTCTTGGCTAAACTCGTTTTTTTATATATTATCTATATGAAATTTGAAAGAAGTATAAATCATGCTGTTTGTTTAACTTCTTATATCTTTCGAATACTCAAATATGTAGTTTATTTTATAATTTTTCCAATTTTTATTATTTTCACGATCGAAATATATAGTTGCCTAGTTTCCAATGGTCATCTAATTTCTTTATTTATACTTATCAGTTATATATATTAATTAAAATCATCATCATCGTCAATCGTACAGTTTGCTGCTTCTGACAGCAATATATCGAAACCTGAGACCTCGCTACCTACTTCTTTATTTTCGTTAAAAATAGTTATGACAATATTGCAAAATAACAATCAGATGCAAAAAAATGCCCATTTATGTATTTCTTCCGTTCATTATAGATTACAAATAAGATGAAACATTTTTATGATGAAATAAAATATTGTGTCTTTATGTAACCATTTAATAACAAAGAACAGATAAATGTAGGTGAATATGTGTATACAGAAGAATACGCTAAGAAATTGGGGTGAACATGCACTGAATTCTCAAAATATCATGTCTGCCTTTCGTAGTTATTTAATTCTAGAAACTATTATATTTGTATAATTATAAACTCACTTACTTTTATTACATTGTATTGTATTAAATGCTCAATTCGTTCAAGTAATCGGTTAAGGTCCCGCCAATGTATAAGTAATCATGAGAATCCCAAAATATGTCACATTCCCACAGTTTGGTTACAAATATACAACGAAACACCACACGAGCTGCTATGCAAACATAATTGCCAACGTAATAGAACATTCAACTCTTCATGCTCACATACGAGTTGCCGATTCAACAGAAAAGGCAGAGAGATCGGCGGAACGGAAGCAGCGTAACGGCAAAACATGAACGACGCTGCAAAGCGATATGTGCTTAGTTGTTAAGGGTAGGTTTTAGTTATCAAATCACCATTAAGAAAACAATTGATTATAAACAAATGCTTAATGGTGTTTATTATAAAAATGAATAAATAAATAAGCAAGAAAAACATCAAAAGAAGGATCTTCAAAAGCAACGGACCTCGCTACCGACTGGTTTATTTTTGTTAGAAATAGTTTTGACAACATTGTGAAATGACAATCAGATGCAAAATATGCACATTTACAGTTATGCAATATATGATTCACTTCCAGAAGAGACCTATATTTTTTATTAGAAACTAGAACTAGACGTAGAACAAAAGTTTACTATTTTTATTTATTAATTAAAATAATGGCATTTATTCTAAGACGGACGAAGATATATATGGGAGCTATATCTAAATTTTGACCATTTTCTCCAATTTCAATAGGGTTCGTCCTTGGGCCAAACAAATGATTTGTGCAAAATTTCATCAGACGGACGGACGGACGGACGGACATGCATAAATCGACTCAGAATGTGATTCTATGCAGATCATCAAAAGGAACTATGGGTCTATCTCGTTTCCATTTGCCTGTTACAAACAAATGCACAAAGACATAATACCCTGACCACCTTGTGGTGTAGGGTATAATGATGATGAGTAGCATATTTTACGGTAGACCGAAAATCACAAAAATGGCTGTAAAGGATTTGGGAAAAGTATGTTGCCTCAAACAATAAGAAATATACTGCATAAATCGAATAACAATGGAAGAAGAGCTAGACATATACATCTATTCAGCAAGCGAAATCAAGAAGTTCTCAGACGAGAGCAAATTCAACTTTTTTGGTTCAAATGGCAGACCTTATGTATGGAGAAAGGCAAATGAAGCACTTATCAAAAATTTGAAACCTACAGTTTATCACGGTGGTGGGTCAGTAATGTTGTGGGGTTCATCTTCAGCCTCTGGACTTGGTGCATTGCATTTTATTGAGGGTATTATGGATCAGACCATGTACCTTAACATTTTAAAATAAAGTTTGCCACTCTGTTAGGAAAAGCTCGACCTGTCATGTCATGTTTTTTTGCGTTTTACATTGCTGACATAGCGTACTAATAAATTGTAAACAAAACATATTTTTTTGTAAATTTTGATTTTTTGAAGTTTTAAGAAAAATATTTTTTTTCTTTAGCTCTATGAGTTTCGCTTGTACTATACATCTATCTTCTCTTCATTATAGATTACAAATATAACAACAAATAATGAACAATATGGAAATCTTAATCAAAAAACAACACCGTTATTATATTCGTGTGTATTGTTGATTTCCATATGAAATTCAAGGTTTTTTTCCTAATAAAACTAGATATTTGTAATGTATAAATTTCTTATAAGTGCTATTACGATTGGGAGAATTTAGAGAAAAATGGGAAAAAGATCTAAAAAAATCAAGAAATCATGGACGACTTCACGTGGAAGCAATGACCATTGGTTTAATACGTTAAAGCAAAGACTATAGTTGAGGCACTTTGTTTTTCATATTGCCTATGCTTACATTAATTCAAGGGAGGGATCACTCGATCTACATTTAACATTTTCCCCATATACTTTGTTTTTGAATCTGAGTTATTGAATTTTTTTTCGAGGCATTTAATTATCAACGTAATCAACAATACGAATTCCTATTTTTATACCCTCCACCAAATTGTTTTAAATTTGGCCTTTGAAGTTCGTAATGAATAATACAGCCTAAGGCAGAAAATTGTCTATGCAGGTCCAGGTTTTCGTATAGGCCCCATATGTCAGTACCTCCCTATATTCGGTATTTTGACGATTTTAGGTACAATACTCACGGAAATTGTTTTAGATGTCGTATTTGAAGTTGGTAATAAAGCTATAGCCTGAGATAGAAAATTGTCTATGCAGGTTCATGTTTATTATTTCGTTTATTTCAAGTTTCGAATTTGAATATGGTAATGGCTTGTGACAAACAATGACTATGGATGTGCACGTCGTACATACCCTAATATAACGGTTATATTCGGTATTTCTAAGATGTTAACAGAATTTTTTGCTAATGTTATCTTTTTCGAAAATTTCCAAATTCGTTCTAAAATGGTGGAGGGTATACAAAGTTCGGCCTGGCCGAACTGACTGCTTTTTTACTTGTTTTCTACTATTTTTATACACTCCACCTTAGAAAGGACGGTATATTAACTTTGTCATTCCGATTGTAACATCCCTAAATATTCGTTGTAAACCCCATAAAGTATATATATTCATAATCATCATAAAATTCTAAGTCGATTTAACGATGTCCATCTATTGAAATCACGAAACAGCCCATATTATTTGACGTAGAGCGTCAAAATTTAGCATTGTGTCTAGAATGGTTGGTATTGAATATGAGATATACCGGTCCACGTTTTGGTATAGTCCCCATATAACCGTATCTCCCGATATTCGATATTTTGATGATTTTTGCCACTTTTTTCACGGTTTTGTCTGAAAATTGGTATTTAAAGGCCATAATGGGTCCTAGTTCGTGTGGCGAAATATAGTATGTATTGCTCCACGCTTTGGTATAGCCCCCATATAACGTTACCTCCCGATTTTTGGTATTTTGATGATCTTTGCCACATTCTTTTCAGGGATTTGTCTAAAAATTGGTATTTGCTGGTCATAATGGGTTCTGGCTGCGGTGGCGAAACAATGTATGTATAGGTCCAAGTTTTGGTATAGCCCCCATATAACGGTACCTCCAGATATTCGGTATTTTGATGATTTTTGTTACATTTCTTCCCGGATTTGTCTGAAAATTGGGATTTGCTGGTCATAATGGGTTCTGGCTGCGGTGGCGAAACAATGTATGTATAGGTCCAAGTTTTGATATAGCCCCCATATAACGCTTCCTCCCGATATTCGATATTTTAATGATATTTGTCACATTTTCCCACGTCTATGTCTAAAAATGTTCCTTTTCTTTACCCTAAGGTGGAGTGTATTAAAAGTTCGGCCCTACGTCTATGTCTAAAAATGTTCCTTTCCTTTACCCTAAGGTGGAGTGTATTAAAAGTTCGGCCCTGCCAATAAACTCAATGTTTATGTACTTGTTTACTACTACAGCGAATACCCTTGTTTTACATTGCGAATATTCTTTCCAATTTCATCAACACTTGAAATGAGGAATAAAGCAAAAAAAAGAGGAGAAGAAAAGATATCATAAAAGTGTTACATTTGTATTTTCCTGATGAAAAAATTCTCTTGCAAAACAGAAAGGAGATTTCAAGGAAATGTAAGTATTTATAATTAATTATACACAAAATTTAAAATTTAAATTAA